AATGTGCATCACTGTCGAGCATTCCTCGCGGTAAATGGCATTGTAAATATTGCCAGAACATGTTCCAAAAAGAGAAGTTTATGGAGCATAATGCTAATGTTGTAGTAGTTGGAAGAGTTTCAGGAGTTGATCTTATTGAATAGATAACCAAGCGCTGGATTCGAATGTTCAAAAATCCAGAAGATGCTGATGACGGGCACACACCATAGGGATTTCTCACTGCAACCATTTTCTTGCAACGCCTTAAACTTAGTAAAAAAAGGGCGTTTCAGGGGCAAAAATGGAAAATAGCCCTCGAACCACTGTTGTGATGTAACGGACAGCTTTCTTGTGCCAAATATGACCTGTAGGGATAGATGGCACAAAAATTGGACACGTAAGTTGGGAGTTAGAGTGAAAAACACCTTAAACTTAGTCAAAAAAAGGCATTCGGGGGTGAACATGCAAAACACCCCCCAACCAATGTTGTGATGTAACGGGCAGCTTTCTCGTGCCAAATGTGACTTGTAAGGACAGGCGGTATGTAAATAGGATACGTAGGTTGGGAGTTAAAGTCGATAATGCCATAAACTTAGTCGAAAAAATGCGTTCGGGGGACAGAAATGCAAAACAGCCCTGTAATCATTGTTAGGATGTAACGGGTAGCTTTGCCATGCCAAATATGACCTGTAGAGACAGACGGTATGTAAATAGGACACGTAGGTTGAGAGTAGTCGAAAACACCTTTAACTTAGCTGAAAACAGCGTTTGGGGCCCAAAAATGGAAAGTTAATTATTAATTACGTACAATGATTGCTTGTAAAATTATTGGTTGCCTATTATATGTATTCGAGTTTTACATATTTTCTTTTATATATATTCGAGTATGCAAAATTAATGATTAATTTGAAAAGATAAATTAATTTGAGTTTTATATGTTTTTTTATAATTTTAAATATGTCAATATTTAGTCAATACTAATGATTAATTTTATTTTTACAGATGGTTTTTGGTGTGAAATTGTGGATACGACTTTTTTTGACAAGTACGGAAGACATTGTTTTTAGTCTAAGGATTAGAATTGTTCATACAAATTACTTTTTTGGCGTGGTACATATCTAAGTTTTGCTATGGTACAGATTACCTTTTGACGTTGTACAATTAGTTTTTGGCGCGATACAGATTACCTTTTGAAAATTAAATTTGGTTAATCCTCTGTTATGTATGGAATTATATTTTTGATGTTGGATTATACTTGATCTGTATGGAATTTCTATTACATTTAGAATTTGATATTAAATATGAATTTTTTGGATGGCTGAAAATGAAATGTATGGACGATGTGGAATGGTGGTTAATATAATCATTATTCAAGGATTATTTTGTTTGTATATAGGATACAAGTTGCACTAATAATGGAATAAATACAGGTGGTAGAAAAATGATTTTTTTTTAAAAAAAATTTATAAGTTTTTGGCTACTAAATATTTTGGTAGCCAAAAACGCAAGTAAAGGTTTTTAGTGACTAAATATTTAGTAGTAAAAAAGAAAAAAAACTTTTGGTGACTAAATAGTTAGTAGCCAAAACATATTAGATTGAGGGAAGAAACTATTGCCGACTAAATATTTTAGTCACAAAAGAACATGACATCCTTCGGCGAGTAAAATGTTTAGTCGCCAATTGTTGAATTCATTTTTATGTAGAAGTTTACCTTTGGCGACTAATAAATTTTTAGTAGCCAAATGTAGTAAGTTAGTGACCAAAAAAATTTTAGTCGCCAATTCTATCGCTGACAAAGTATACCCAACTAACTGAGCGACTAAAATTTTTAGTCACCGTTGACTTTCGGCGACCAAAAATGAGCTTTTGGCGACTAATATTTTAGTAGCCAAAAGTGTATTTTCTTGTAGTGTAAGAACAATTAAAGATATCATTGCTCAATTTTAAAGGCAAAATCGTCAATTTGATAAAATATAAACTTAATTGACAAATATAAATGTCAAAAAAATATTTTTAAAAATGATTTTTACCCGCCAAAGGCAAAATTATGCAAAATTGATAAATTTTTTACACACACACATACACACACACACACATATACATATATATATATATATGTACATTCATATAGACAGCAAGATAGAATTCAAAAATAAATTTAAACAAAGAGGAGAAGGATAGGATCAACCGTGAGTCTTGTTTCTAGTAACGTGTAATGAAGATTTGAGCATCTTGAGTGTGGTGGTTGTCATCTCTTTCGTTGAATTCTTGTAGACGTTTCCCATAGACGGCGCCAATTGTGAGACCATGAAATATCCTCTCACATAGATTGTAGAGATCCAACGAAG